GTAAAAATCGACGCGTTTCAGAAAGGCGGGGCATAGAGGAGAAACAATAATGTACAGTATGTGGAAAATAATGTGTTTTTTGAACCTTAAACCGCATAAACACATTTTATTACACCAAATACACAAAATAGTTATTTTTTAGCAATGTCATATAACCTCTTTAAAAATTCACCGTGTAAGCAGCTCACTCTGTTTTGAGACACAATTCAGAAATTCTCTTTACATTGGGAAGCAGACTGCCTTCCAAACCTCTGGTGAGTGCGAAGGCTCATTCCATGCTCAGAATCTTACACTGCAGGAGGGAAATGGACCGCGATGATGACAATGGCTGTGCATGTGTGTTTAATGGTTTGTAATTCTTCCTCAGTTTTCCTTTTAACATGACGACACACAGGAGTTTGTACAGAGAGTGCAGGCTGCAAATAAGAGTGGTGCGGTTCCTTCTCTCCTCACACCTAGAGGCTTTAAAGAGGGGCATGCATACATACAGAAGGAAGACTGTTGTACAATTACAGATCATCACAGAATGTTAAAAAAAAAACAAAAAAAAACAATAACCTGTGTGTGAACATGAATTTCATATTCTGATACATTTTTCTTCTGAAACATTTTTCCAGAAATGCTTTGCATGACAAGATGGGATAAATAAAATATATAACAAAATGAAGCATCAACATTTAGAAACACTTATTTTGGATTGTCCCGTCGCCCCCACCCTGATGCACACACTTTCACAGCAGCACTCTCTGTCAGGATGGAGCCTGTGTGTCAGTCACTGTCAAACGTGCAAGGTTGGCATGGAGCTCACCTGAAGGCCCGTCCTCTTCCTCTGGGAGGTGTGTAGCCACTGTAGTAGCGCGCACGGGATGAGAAGTTTCCTCCTCCACGTGAGCGGAAGCGGGCCCGAGGAAAACCGCGGTCTGTGGTGCTAATGCCAGGACGATTTGTTCTCTTGGCCCCAACCTGTAAGAACAGTTGGGAAATTTATTATTAAAATTTTAAAAGACTGCAAGAAATTCTGAAATATATGTATTTTTTACAAACCCTAAAAAAAAAATTAAAAAAAAAACTTTATAAGGGGTAAAAAAGAACTGAAAACGTATATGACTGAAGTGTTTGTCAATGCTTCATAAAGCATATCTGCTGCATTTTTACACGTATAATATTTTTTGGTTGCTAAAACTGAATTTTCAATTTTATGTTGACTTCAAAAGTCAAAACAATTTATTATCAGTATTAGTTAGCAAGCTTGTAATGCCTCATCTCACCTTAATCTGCCTTCCTCTGAATAAAGACTCATCCAGTGCCATAGCGGTCCTAACAGACTCCTTGTCTGCGAACTCTATATATGCAAACCTGAAACATGAAGAGGGCAAATGTGACCCTGGACCACAAAACCAGTCTTAAGGCTTGTTCACACCGGGACGAATATCACGCGCGATTATCGCCGACGTTTAACGCCTCGTGACTAAACAATGGGCGCCAATGTGAGCGTGCCCACCGACGCGCAAAACGTGAGGCGTAAAAGCGTCATTTTTTAAAAACCACCTCGGGCTCGTTTTTTTGGTTTGACGAGCCGCGTTAAAAATTGGACATTCATTAAGCGCCATCTAATGTCAGGGAGTGAATTTGCACGTTCACTCGGCTCATCACCAACGAAAATCGCTTGGGTATGAACACAAAAGACGCGTCGAAAAACATCGGCGATAATCGTCCCGGTGTGTACGAGGCTTTAAGTCGCTTGGGTATATTTTTAGCAATAGCCAAAATAACATTGTATGGGTCAAAATTATCGATTTTTCTTTTATGCCAAAAATCATTAGGATATTAAGTAAAGATCATGTTCCA